TTACACTGTTTATTATTTATTTTTTCTTATCTTATGATTAAAATAATTGCTTTATTGCTTGCCTTGTAGATCCACTTATACTTGTATTGTTGGTGGAGATAGCGCTTGTAGTGGAGCATGGTGGAAAAACGAGGTGTCTTGTATTGTTGGTGGAGATAGTGCTTGTAGTGGAGCATGGTGGAAAAATGAGGTGTCTACAGTTGTAATTCAACTGGAAAGTTGGATTCAACTATTTTCATATTCAAAAAATATGCTTCTCCTATCATTTCTGGTTCTTTCGCAGTAATCCTTTTCAGCTTGGATTCTGAAATCAATTTTATGAAAGAACCCCTTGGTTTTCCTTCTAGTTTAATCTCCTTCCCCTACTTTAAAAGTCATAGTAATCTCTTTAAAATCCATGATAATTGGACTATATTGACTCATCCAATCCACTCCTAACACCATATCACTTCCCCCCATATTCAAGACTCTAAAATCATACTCAAAGACATTTCCTTGCATTTTCTAGCTCAACTTGTTGCTCTTGGCAATACTGAATAATTTCTCTCCATTAGCAACTGTTATAGCAAAAGAATGAGTTTGTTTCACTTCCACTCATTCCTTAGCCTATCTAGGAATGATGAAATTGTGTGTACTTCCACTATACACCAAGATATTCAAAGATTTTCCTTTAATGACTCCTTGAAGTCTCAGAGTATTATGTCTCACGCTACCAGTGAGAGCATTAATGGAAATCTCCAAAGCTCCTTGTTCCTTATCATCAGATTCTTCTTCTTTATCTTTCTCCTAATCTCCTTCTATATTTTCTTCCTCCTCTATCATGTTAAGCTGTTTAAGTTTGCATTGATGACCAGGAGTGAATTTTTCTCCACACTTAAAACACAAATTATGTGCTCTTCGATACTCAATCAAAGTTTGTTTATTTGGAGAATTAGTAGTTGGATTCTTCTGGATAGTTGATGTACCCATAAACTTTTGTGATTGAGAATGTGTTCTTTGATAATTGGTTTTGAGCAAATGTTGCTTCTTTTTCGCTTCAATTTCTAATGCCAATTCACACAATATGGCCTTCCTGTAGGCTTCATCCAAACTTTTGGGTTCATGTATCCTTACTCTATGTTTAATTTCCTCTTTTAATCCACTCAAAAACATAGATACAAAAAATTCTTTCCCCAAGATAGGAATTGTGTTGTAGCATGAATGGTTTAAGCTCCTTAAACTTCTCTTGGTAATTTTCCACTGTTGAATTTTGCAAAAGCTTACTAAATTATTCAATCACATTAATATAATTCTTGTCACAGAACATGCTATATATATCTTCCATGAATTCCTGTAAAGTTACTTGACCTTTCTGCATAACATACCCATCATACCAATTTTCAGCTTTATCTGTCAAATATATTGTTGTTATTTCCATTTTCTGTTCATCAGTAATTACAAAAATGGTAAAATACTTTTGGCATTTTTTGACCCAACTCATTGGGTTATCACCTTCAAACATCTGTAATTCTATATTGTGTATTAGGGTAAAGGTTTGATTTTGTACACTTTTCTCATACAAATATAGATCTTTAGAGAGTGAAGTACTTCCAGATTGGTGATTATTCCCTTCCAAGTTCAATTTCTGGTTTTGTTTTAGTGGAATAGGTGATTTGTAGTACTCTGGTTTAAGAGCTAGTACTCCAAGTCTTTCAGGATAAAAGGAATATTTTTCATGCTCATTTATCAATGTCACTTGTGTAGGCTTTTTCCTTCAAACTTAGGCAAAGATGGAACAATTACCTGGTCATTCTTTTCAGGAGTATTCTGCTTAGGTTCTTCACTCACCTTAGATACACAGCTCAGTATTTCTGCAAGTATCCTTTGGTCTCATCCATCCTATCCTCCAACATCTTTATTATGTTTTCCCATTCTCCTTTTTGTTCTTCCCACCATCTAGGAACCCGATCTCTATTCCTTGTATCCTTGTTACTGCTTGGTATGGCTACTGACTCAACTGTATCACCCATCTGTTAGATTTTCTTTTGCTTACCCAGCTTGATGTTGGATCTTTACTAAGCTCTGATACCAATTGTTATAGTCAGTAATGAATTCAAGAAAAAATAGGGGATTTTTGAGAAAATTGAAGAGTATATTTAAAAGAAAGAAATGTTTTTCATTAAATTGCCAGAATAGATTTTTCCATTACAAGTTGTTCCCTATATTCTTCAGTATAAAAATATAATAGAATTATTCTGTACAGCTGATAGTCAACAACTAAACTTCACATTTTCTTCATGTGTTGGGCTGTTCATCAGCAAGCCTAATTTCGTGGGTCATTTCCATGTTGGGTTATTCCTTAGCAGATCTAACCCGTCCTCTTGTTGGTATCTTAGTGCGGATCTTCTGCTCCAGGTTAATAGCTTGGGTCTCCTGCTCCAGGTAAGTTTGCATTTTCCCCAATTGTTCACGCGCAATCCCTAACTCTTTGACAGAAATCCCTAACATTTCTCCTTTCCTTCCACGTTCATAACATGTTTATTTTGATTATATAAATCAATTTAAAGAATATGGTTTAATTCAAATAATTGAATCAGACAGATCGATTCAAATTTGAATCACCTGCACGAACACGTGGTAATGTTGTTAGATGAGTCAACATACATACAGATCCTTCACCATACTTTATGTACATCATTTGTGTCTGGTGGAAGGGATATTTGTTTTTGACTAGCTTTTAGGAGACGAAGGTTGTTGAATGAGTTTTGAAACCGAGTTTTTTATTGGATGTTATAGAGGATATAGTTGGGCTTAAATTTTTTGGTCTAATCTTGGACTTGGCTCCAGACTAAATTAGTTATAACTTGTGTAGTTTACCCGAAAAAAATATGAGGGATAAAAAGGGTAAACTATACCAGAGACCATCCAATTATAGCCCATTTTCATTTCAACAACTATTTTTGAATTTTTGTCAATCAGGTCATCCAACTATTTAAATGCATTCAATCAGACCACTAGTCGTTAACATTTAACGGAAGTTATGACGTGTCAATCAATAAAATTGGTATAATTACACATTTGGTCCTTGATATTTATACATTCTTTCAGTTTGGTCATAATTTTAATTAAATTTGATAAATTTAACCTCCAATTAGGTGTTTACAAGTGTCACTACGAGATTGAAGAATATTTTATTAATTATAATTATTTCATTTATTTCATTTTTATCCAATCATGTGGTGACACATGTCAACACCTTTTTGAATACAAAATTTTGAAAATTTTCAACTTGCTCTTCGGATAGATCAAACCAACACCACACAACCCCTTTAGGAGCATGCCAAAACCGTTGGGCTGAGTCCCTAAATTAGTATTGTATTCCAACATTTTATATATCATATGTTCTAACATTTTTTAGACAAATATTAATTTATTAATCAAAAAGGTAATTGGGTAATTTTTTTTGCTTTGGACACCATCAAAACCCTAAACATTTCTTCTTGTGCTTGCTTCTTCCACTTTTAGCTTCTTTGTTGTTCTTGTTGTAATTAAAGGTAAGAAGAAAAAAAATCAAAAACTTCTCTTTTGTATGTTTTTGTATCTGAAATCTTCTTATTTTTGCTTATTTTAATTATTAAATGATTTTTTTAATAATTATTGGAAGAAATTCATGTTTTGGTTTGGAATTTGAAACCTGTTGCTTCTAGAATCACAGATCCTTCTACTCTGTTGTTTGATTTTGCTAAAAAAAAGCAATCTTTGAGAAATTATTTACTGTTGGAATACATTCTTCTTTGGGAAGACTTTAAATTCTGGGATATTTTAGCTTGAGATTCTTTTCTTTTATATGGAAATTTTGTTCAGGAAATTGTTTATTTAGATCTGCTAAATCATTTCCAAAAAATAAAGTTGATCTTCACTGGCAGATTTGTTTTCCATTTTACCTTACTGTAACTGGTTTTGATGATGCTAATATGTTGCACTTGCTTGCGATAGAACTCTAAAGAGATAGTTAAAAGAGGAAAAAAGATTTGTGCTTAGTAAAAGCGTGAAGGATAATAGAAGAAGCAATGGCCGCAACCTACTGGTGCCATCAATGCTCTCAAGTGGTTACACTGATCATGGAAGTCGAAATTAAATGCTCCAAAAAGTTTTTTATTTTTCTCTACCATTGTTTAGAACATATTATATATAAAATGTTGAAATACAATACCACTTGAGGGACTCAGCCTATCGATTTTGGCATGGCCTTAAAAGGGCTGTAGGGTGTTAGTTTGATCCACCCTAAGAGCAAGTTGAAAATTTTTAACATGTTGTATCCAATAAGGTGGTGACATGTGTCACCATATGATTGGATACAAAATAAAATAAATTAAATAATTAAATATCCTCCAATATAGTAGTGACACATGTCAACACCTAATTGGAGGTTAAATTTATCAAATTGAATTAAAATTGTGACCAGACTGAAAGATTGTATAAATATCGAGGATCAAATGTGTAATTATACCAGTTTTATTAACTGACATGTCATCACTTCCGTTAAATGTTAACGGCTAGTGGTATGATCGAAAAAAATTAAAAAAAATGATAAATGGACTATAATTGGGTGATATCTTGGTATAGTTTACCCAAAAAGAAAAGGCAATTGGCCATCCGACGACCATAATCCGAAACTCAAGTACCATAAACCCTTGGATAAATTATATGTTTAGTACTTAAAATATCACTTTTATTTCGTTTTAATACATAAACTTTCAATTGTTTTCAATATATATATAATGTTTACTTTTTATTTTATTTTAGTACCTGCTATTTATTTTTTGTTTCATTTTAATATCTATTATTAATTTTTTATTTCATTTTAATACATAAATTTTTAATGATAACAATAAAATAAAACAAAAGGTAAATTTAAAAAATATTTTTTTAAAAAAAAATTAAAAATTTAAATACTAAAACAAAATAAAAATATACGTACCTAAACCCTTTCATCTTGAAATCTCACATCTCTTCGTACTTTCGGCCCTCTACACAAAAAAGAAAAAGGAAAAAAAAAAAACAGATCCTTCGAGAGAGAAACAAAAATGGCGGAGCACTTGGCTTCGATTTTCGGCACGGAAAAGGACAGGGTGAACTGTCCCTTCTATTTCAAGATCGGCGCATGTCGTCACGGAGATCGCTGCTCGCGTCTCCACACCAAGCCTAGCATCAGCCCTACTCTCCTCCTCTCCAACATGTACCAGCGCCCCGACATGATTACCCCCGGCGTCGACGCCCAGGGTAATCCAATCGATCCCCGCAAGATCCAAGAGCATTTCGAGGTATTTCTCCTATAATACGTTCTGATATGATGTGTCGAGGTCTTCCGATTTAATCATATTTTTTATTTGCTTTAATTAGAACAAAGAAAACTGTGTATTAGATGTTTCGTGCTAATTTTACAGGGATTTTACGAGGATCTATTTGAGGAACTGAGCAAGTACGGTGAAATTGAGAGTCTGAACATATGTGATAACTTGGCTGATCATATGGTAAATTTTTCTCTTCGGCGCTGTGTCTTTGAGATTATCTTTGTTTGATAATTTCGTATCATGCTTGATGCTTCAACTTTGTGGGCAGGTGGGCAATGTGTACGTTCAGTTTAGAGAGGAAGAACATGCCGCGAATGCGCTCAAAAATCTTACCGGAAGATTTTATGCTGGTTTGTCTTAATTAATTAATAGTGTCAAAGTCCTTGTAACAAAAACATGTTTATTTGTCTTGCCAAAATTTTTGTTAGTGCTGTTAAATACACTTAAACATGACACAGATAACTGATTGACGTGATTAACCTATTTAAATTTTTTGCATGAATAATAATTTTTTATGCATTTCAAATGTTAACAATATGATAAATGAGTTCAAATGATTTAGATATTATATAGGTTAACCTGTCAGAGCAGTTTCATTAACCTGTACAGATGATTTGTGTTCAAATTAGATTGTAACCTGTATGAAGTATAGAGAGTGGATTATGTGGTCCAAAATTGACTGGGTTTAGGCTAAGTTATTATTCTTTTGGATTAGTTTCCATCTATTGGTACTGCAACATTCTTGTATCACTAAATTGCCTTGCCTATTCTGTTGCAGGACGACCTATCATTGTTGATTTTTCACCTGTGACGGACTTCCGTGAAGCCACTTGCAGACAATATGATGAGAACACTTGCAATCGTGGTGGATATTGCAATTTTATGCACCTTAAAAGAATCAGTCGGTGAGATGTTCATCCAAATCAGATTTAACTGTCTATGGTTTTTTTAAATGGGTCTTGTTTGTTGATTGTATTCATTTTCATTAGGGAGTTGAGGCGCCAGTTATATGGAAAGTCTAGAAGGAGGCGAAGTCATAGTCGAAGCCGAAGCAGAAGCCCTCGTAGGCATCGTAGTAGCCATGAGGAGCATTCATATGGTGGACGTGGCCGCAGTAGAAGGTATGATGATAGGGAGAATTATCATGAAGACCGGAGCAGAAGGCATAGAAGTACAAGTCCTGGCCATCGGAGAGGGCGGAGCAGAAGCCCTGGAGGGAAGAGGAATCGTAGCCCAGTCCGTGAAGGCAGTGAGGAGAGACGTGCTAGAATTGAGCAATGGAATCGTGAAAGGGAACAACAAGAAAATGCTAGCAATATTGATAAAAATGCGGCCAATGATAACAATGAGAATGGTAACAATGGATATGTGCAAAATAATGATAAGCACTATCAGCAGCAGGAGTAACCTTGTCTTTGTGGCAGCACACCAATCTGGATTAACCCTTCTGCCTGGTTTGTCTCTCAAGTTTTTTATCAATAAATTTTACGTTCTTCACCTTTAGTGGAACAACAACTGTTTCTACAAAGAGTAAACATTTGGTAAATATAGCTTACAGCCCATTTTCCACTGTGCAGGTGGTGTACAGGTTCATAATTTGATATGGATTTTCATTTTTTTTTCGTTTTCCTTTTAGTTTCATGCCTTTTGCAACTGTGTAATGGTTTTTCACTGCATTACCATTTAAAAAGTCTTGAACACGTGCCCTTTTCTTCAGCTGTCCAATAAGCTTCATTATTTTCGTTGACGTACCATATTTTCCTTGATATCTCTTTCTCCAGTGTTTTTGTCATTTCAAATTTTGTTGAAAATATTTAGGACTCTGAGAAATAGCGTTTTAACCTTTCAAACAAATTAAAATAAAATATGTTTTGCTGAGTATTACTCACTCCCTTGGAGCCTATGTTTAGGCCTTAATTTCCTGTGGTCTATACTAAGCTTTACTCAGTACCCTGAAGCTCAAGTTCAGGCCATTGTTTTCTGTTTCAATTTCCAAGCGACCATTAAGCTTTACTATTGCCATTCATTCCATTTTTAGTTAGGAGTGCAAGATCAGAATATGGGAGTTAAGTTTTAGCTTAAACCGTCAGGATTATCTAAATGCATGTGCATTAAAAATGTCGTCTTTGTGTGCATGTAATAGTATTAGTCGCCATGTAACCACTGCACATGCAGGTTAATGAACCATCAAAGTTTATGGTTGTAAATGGGGTTTTGTTTCCTATATCTGTATTTCCGAAAAGAAAACCTGTTGATGAACATTATGAGTTTTGCAGGTTCAGGTATTCCTGCTTCTCGGGACCGAATCATGATTTTAATTGCAGCTTTTCATGGAATTTGTTGTACAGGATTTGTCCTTGGAGAAACTTGGTTTTAAAGGTTGTATCAGGTTTTAAGTTGGGGATGAAAAGAGTAGCAGCAAGCCTCTTGTCAAGTCTATTGCGAGAGTCGTAGGTGATGTTGTGATCTGATTACCCCTTAATTGCAGCAGTTTTAATTCGTTTGCAGACTTTGTAGTAAGTTGTTTTCACTTGACACATTAAGGGTTTGGACCATTCTGAGAATCATGTTTGACCTGTTAAAACACACTATGAAGTAGTATCAGTTTGTCTGGTGATTAAAGAAGATAATTAACTTCTTTGGGATCTCATGTTTTCCCTGTTAAGAGACACCATTAAGTAGTGTCAGTTTGTCTCGTGATTAAAAGACACTATTGTTTCATTGTTTTTCTTGTGATTAAAGAAGATAATTTAACTGGATTCGTCCCGAACCATTTAGGAGCAAACTTGTTATCTCAACGATATTCAACTGATTGCTGCTTATACGGTTGCAGTTTCAATATAGACTAGATCAGCCTCCGATTCCTTGTCCTCCTCTTATCAGCTTGCATTTTCGTTTTATCTTGTGCACGTCCCAAGTAAAACTTGAACATTTTGATGGCCGCATCCCTTCGTTGTAGTCTCTCGTATCCATTACAACACACTAATGTTTACGGGAATAATATTCATTTCCTTAGCCTTGAGGGTTTCTTGAAAACCCATGTCACACTATTCTTGGTGATAATAGATACCCGGGGAGTTGTTGCTTGCTTATCATATAAAAAGTTCACATTTTGGTTATTCCTTAGGATTTTGAAATGTCTCTCCACCAAGTAAAGGCCAACAATACATCCCATTGTCATAGATGGAAAGATTGTGATGATTAGGGCCTAATCCTTTGCTAAATGGAAAGATTGTGATGCTTAGGGCCTAATCCTTTGCTAAAGTACACTAAAAGTCCTCTTTTATGGATCATCGTATAAAGATAATACAAGGAAAGATGTTTTGGAATCAATTAGTAAGGGTTGTCTCTTAAATAGAGGTGTAAATGAATATAGCGTTCGGTAAACTGTTTGTAAATAGTTCGTTTGTTAAGTTAAATAAACGATTATGAAAAAGAAATATGTTCATTTAGTAAATAAATATATAGAAAATGAGGTTTATTAGGTTAGTTTATATTCACGGGCAACCTCGTCTATTAACTCATTTGTTTATATTCACGGGCAACCTCATCTATTAACTCATTTGTTTATATTCACAAACAAACTCATCTATCGACTCGTTCTTTTATGATCATGAACAAGCTTATATATAATTTTATTTAGAAGCTCGTTTACTCTCTTACATTTAAAATATTTTTGAGTGTAGAAACTAAATCTAACACATGATAAAAATTTGAAGTTTAAATTGTGAAACTTAAGGAGTTTAAGCTCTAGTGACGTGATTTTACCATTTTTAGTTTGTAAATGAACATGTTCACGAGCGAGCGTAAAATTAACATGTTCATGAACATAAAATGAACATTAAATAAATATGTTCGCGAACATATAAATAAACATGTTCATAAATTCTAAACGAGCAAACACGAATACATTCAAAAATTAATAAACAAACATGAACACAATATTAAAAATTGAACCGGATATTAGTTAAAAATTTAAAGAAACAAGAACCAAACATGAACACCTTTAAAAATAATAAACAAACATGATCGCAATCTTGTTCGTTCAAGCTCAATTCATTTACACCTATGCTCTTCAACGATAAAACCCCGTTTACCAAACCATAAATCTACCAAAACCACAGGACAAGAACCTCTCTTCCAAAATTGAACATGCACATAAGAGCCATGTTCACAACTTCCTCAGCCCAATCTTGAGCATGCCTAGATATTTCCTTTGCACTGCTAAAGCACATGATAAGAGCTTGAATGACCCCCTCATTTGCCACCATGCTTCGCCTTCTTGTGAGATTCTAGACCACCCTCGGAGCCGAATGACCTGTTCATAGTGTGAGAAAGGTGGCATGGTGCCGAGGGATGAACAGCCGATGGCCAACGTACGATGAGATGTAGAGCAGTGACTAGTTGGGATTAAAATGGCAAAAAGATAAAGAGAATAGAAACTGATTTTTTACTAATCAAGAATATTGTAACAATATTCTAACTATCCAGCTAACAATCATTAACAATTCTTAACCATTTTGTTTCATTTAACACACAATAAATTGCTGCGTGTTCATGATAAACTACCCCGACTCAATCAAAATTGCAAACAAATTTAAAACTAACAGATGAGTGATTGTTACAAAATCCACAAGAGAATTGCCCACCAAACTTTGGACTTCTTGTAGAAGCTTTCCAGCCCTGCTTTGATGGGTGCGCTGTCACTGTGTGATCACCCTTCTTACCATCTGCAGCTACGACGAACAATAATCAAAAGACGAAATAAGATATAATTGGCGAAATCCTGGTTAGCTTTTATCAAAGATCTTGACAATCCATAAAGCATTGAAATACTTTCAAGTGAACTGCATGTGAAAAACCTGTCTTCTGAGGTGTAGCAGCAGTTTTCGCCTTTTTCGCAGAAACAGGGGTGGCAACTTCAGCAGGTCTCTTCTTGCTCAACTCAACCTTGAAAGCAAACCAAAATATAAAATTTATGCAATCAAATCGGATTACACAATTCAAAAGCCACAAGCAATCTGACATTTATACCTTCTTAGGTGTCTCCTCATCATCTGAACTTTCGTCCATTGAAAGTCTGTTCGGAAAACATAAAATGTAAATTTCACAAAACCAACTATACAAATCGTTTGTTCAATCAAACAGGGAATAAACTGATAACAACCAAACCAACATACCAAAAAAATCGATCAAAATGAAATTGAATGCTTATACATTTCATTTCACACATTTCTAGAAGGAAAAGCATTTCATGTCTCCACTATTTATTCAGGGATACATAAAGATTAACAACAACCGAGTATGCTACTAGGAAAAATGGGAACTTGCCGAATGGCCCAAGGACACCAGATATTAGAACACAACTGGAACAAATAAACTAAAGGTAAGGTGATCATCATAAGAAAACACATTAAAAACATTTGCCTAGTCATGAAGAGAAACCTCAGAATCGTTGTCATCTTCCTCAGAATCACTTTCATCCTCAGAATCGATGTCATCTTCATCAGAATCAATTTCATCCTCGCTGTCATCTTCATCATCATCTTTCTTGTTATTGGTTGGTTATGCTATATTGAAAACTTTTTTGCCAGCTATCAGCCTTGGCTGTTTTTGCATCAGCTTTAGCTTTTCCTGAAATAAAGCATAACATTTTCCAGTTAAATATAAGAATTAATCTAATCTTCAACCACTGATATAGTTTCAAGTACAGTTAGGGAAATTACCATTTTCTGCTGCAGCCACTCCTCATCCTCACTAATTTCTTCATCAGTAGACATATCTGTACATAAGAATAATATTCATTACCATAATTGATCAAAATATGAAAATTTCAAGTAGGCAAAATGCAGTCCAGGACTTACTGAATTCATTAGTGGTAAACAGAACAGAGCATACAAGTCAGGGAAGCACAAAATTGCATAAGCAAACTTCTCATTCATGAAAAAAGTACATTTTTGGCAATCGAAAAAGTGAATTAGATCCAAATAAAAGGATATCCTTAGTCCGGCACAGAAGTTTTGTATCCAAGGAAATAGACACTCCCATTTTTCCAGTTATGAGAGACCTCAAAGTCTTGTTCAAATACCAAATCAAAAGATAATCGAGGGCAATTCTGATGCGAAAGTGTCCCACGAACAAGCTTCTTTCCATTCACATTCACATAGAGTGGAACAGATTCTGCTTTGTTCTTTGATTCCCCAAGTGATGCCTAAAACAAGTAGCATTGCAGAGTATTTTAAACAAACAAGAACAAATGAAAGGCATCGATAACTAAAGAAACTTCAATGAATAAATCACTCCAAACCTGGGAAAGACGGGTAACATGATTGGCACCAGGTCTGTTTTACCAGCCTTGGCTTCAATACCTATCAAGTAAATAAAAAATGACAACTATATTTAATTGCCAAACTCAAAAAACCAATATGGAGCGTGCCTTCAGTATAAACCAGATATATAATCACATTATGGCCTTTATACCCTCAATATAATTAAATTTTAAATTATCATATATTTTAGATATTTTCTTTGTATTTTCTATAGATAATCTTTATCAACCACCTAGAATTCTATAAGATTGTCCTCACCTAAAATTTTAGAAGTTCACACTCGAGCACAAAATCATGCTTGATTTAAAGCAGAAGATGATAATAAATTTCATTTTCAAAAAGCTTTCCTTCAGCGACCAAAAGTTGAAGTAAATGTGCTTAAACATAGTGATAAATGAAAAGTACTGATACTGGAAAATGATGAAAATGTTTGAAAAATAAATCGATTAAAACACTATTTGCATTGACAATAGTTCAAACAATCAAGAACGGCCAATAAGATGAACAAAAACCCATTCAGAAAAGAAAGTATCATTTCAAAAGGGAAACCAAAAGAAACAAATATATATATATATATATGATCACAGCTTCCCAAAGCATAATAAAGGATAAAAGACTAAAAATGTAGGAAGAAAGAAGCAAAGAGTGACAAAAGAAAAGGAAAAGAAGGGCTTACCCCAGAACTCCATGATGATTGTTAATGGAAGAAAGTATATATATATATGATCACAGCTTCCCAAAGCATAATAAAAGATAAAAGACTAAAAATGTAGGAAGAAGCAGCAAAAAGTGACAAAAGAAAAGGAAAAGAAGGGCTTACCCCAGAACTCCATGATGATTGTTGATGGAAGAAAGTAGAGGCGGAGGCTAGGGTTCTTGAAGAACTTGAGTTTTAGGAGCACAAACAAGAAGAGAGAACAATGAATCGCTTATAAATATGGTCGATACAGAAAGAAATTAATTTACGATAAACTACACGTACCATTAAACTTTTGGTAATATATCTTTCATATCATTGAAAATTTATTTATTTTAATTATAAAATTAAAATCTAGTTTTAATTTCAATAGTAGTATTGAATTGTAAAAATTAAATTACATGATGTGAAAAAATGGTATCACTTGTCGTAATTATTGAAGTTTTAGTCGCTAATTTTTAGGGTGTATTATTTTAATCACTAAATTTTTAAACAATTTATTTTTAAGCATGGGACTTTCT